CACTACTGAAATGGGGAAACCACGCATGAAAATCCAGAGGAACTTTCTCGATCAACACTTGGAGCGAACCCGGGACCTGCAGTAGGATAAGTTTAAAGAAAAGGAATTTTTGTATCGATCATTTTTTTCCTTATCGTCGAAAATTGTCAAGAATATATACTATTCAAAAAAAGTAGGGGATATTTGATTTTTAAGTGTTATTAAAGTCACCTAATGAAACTGACGAAGAAACAAATGACAAAATGAAATGAAGTTCACATTCATCGATTTATTCCAAATGATCGTTAGACTAAGTAAGGCACAGACTGACCATTATAAGGGTAAAATGATACCCGGGGTCAAACAGCAAAGTTACCACAGCATCACAACCAAGTCAGTAACGGGTAAATCCTCCTCTGTTTGCCAAACAAGCATTGATCCGACGTGGCATACTCCTAATGAGACGTCTAAGGTCATTTTGGTCCAGATTGTCCCATTCCTGTTGCAACGCAGCAGCAAGTTCTTGGACATTGGCAGGACGTTGTTGACGTTGACGTAACCTCTTTCCAAGCATGTCCCAGACATGCTCGATGGGGGAGAGGTCGGGACTCAGTGCTGGCCAAGGTAATGTGGTGATGTTCTGTTGTTGGAGGTAACCTGTAACGATCCTGGCCCTGTGACATCTTGCGTTGTCATCCTGGAAGATGAAACGGCGGCCATGACGTCGTGCGAACGGCACAACATGGACTGCCAAGATGTTGTCCCGGTAGTACTGGCCTGTAACACGCCCTGCAACAACATGTAAAGCCGTTCTTCCAGCAACAGTGATGCCTCCCCACACCATAACAGAACCACCCCCAAATCGATCATGTCTGATGGCGTTAACGTCTTGGAAGCGCTCGTTTCGACGACGCCACACCCTCCTACGTCTGTCCAAAAAATCAACAGTGAACCTTGACTCATCTGAAAACATCACATTGCTCCAGCGTCGATTATCCCAGTGTTGACGATCCCTACACCAACGACGTCTTGCCTGAATGTGATGATCTCTCAAACAAGGGATCACGCGAGGACGTCGGGCGCGAAGGTGACCCCTATGCAGTCGATTCCGAATCGTCTGGCCACTTACTCTCACACCAGTGTCTGTTTGAAGACGAGCGCTGATCTGATTTGCTGTGATGACACGATTTCTCAAGGCCAAGGTACGGATAAATCGATCCTGGGCTTGAGTTGTCGCCCTTGGTCGACCTGAGCGTGGTCTGTCCTGTACAGATTGTGTATCACGGTATCTGGACCATAGCCTGCTTATGACAGACTGAGAAACATTCATCGTCCGCGCCACAACCGCCTGTGTTGTGCCGATCTGTAGCATGCCAAGGGCACGTAACCTTTCATTTTGGGTAAGCCGACGCATATCAAAATTTGTTTTCTGGTCACTAAAACAATTAAACTGATGTTTCCACCCTGGAATTCAATGCCACAATGACTGTAACATTCAAAGTCAGAGTCGTGCAAATCTTGGGTTGGACCCCCATGATGATCCCAAGCATGACCTGCATTCCATGCGGTAGCTATTGGTGCGTTTGGGCGTCACATGTAACTGGAAATGTTTCTTCTGTTAGGTTCTATAGTGACTTTTTTCGTAGTCATTTGCATATTTTAGTATTATGCCCCCAAAATCAAATATCCCCTACTTTTTTTGAATAGTATAATTAATCTTATCTAAATCAGAATAACAAATAAAGATAATGATATCTCGAGCATGAAAAGGTCACTTGATTGACCCGCTCCTTTCTTATATCTGAAATACTGATAATTATGATAACCTTGAGACCTATAATTGGCCAATAAAACGATAATAAATAAAACAAGTTAAAGGCCCAACACTGATAGTAGAATTGTTATAAGGCTACTGTATTTATGTTCGACGCATAAGGCGGCAGTTTGAAATGAAGATAGACCAAAAAAAATGGCGTTTAGCTTTATTGTTTGGAATGTTAAAATGGGTCGAAATTAAAGATACATTATGGGAGATTAGATAAAGAGCTGGCAGTTCTCACTATAATAGTTGAAAACTAGATAATGTAAAGGGAATTTGCTGAAAATTTCATTCAAAATCTGAACCGAAAATTTAGCGATTGAATTTTGGCCTCGATCATCATTACTAAAGTCGGTATGATAAAATGCATAGTCTCGATTATCCATTTTTTGATTTAATCATGAATGAGCGTTGGGCAGCAGATCGGATCCCTATCCAATAAATGTCACAGGCTAGCGGTGACATCGATAGTTGATTATGGTCTGGATAAGTTGATTATTGTCTAATTAATAATTTAGATTACATTTCAGACCTAAAGAAAGACATGCAATAGCTAGATTTAGCTCTTGCATAATGTATGTTTAATGGAGGTTTAAAGTCATGCTGTCCTTTTCCAACTGGGCTAATGAAGATGGACATTTTGCCCGAACGGATTACTGTGATCTCGAATTCCAGCTGCCAAGGGTTCTTTTACACCAATGTTTACACGGGCTCTCGGTTTTCCGTTCCAGTTGACCGTCTATACGTTGTCCTTTGTCTGAATTTATTTCAAAATGATTTTTGTGTCTTCAATTTGGATATTATGATCCTATATTTTCAGTATGGATTGAAATGGACAATAACCGAATTCTATTTCGTATTAATAATGTCAAATGTAGATTACATGGATTTAGAGCTATTCGGTTTTCAAATGATAATAACATAACATAGAATTGATATTTTCAATAATGTTTGGAGCAAAAGGTCTATATTTAACCTTTATTTTAACATGACAGGAATTTAATTATCTGTTTGAAAAGCGTCAACCATTCAATCTCCCAGTGATTCCGTAGTCATTCCAGTAGACAGGACAATGTATTAAATTCAAATGTTACCGAATGTCTGTTACCGAATGACACACAAACTACAAAAAGATATGAAATGCAATAGTGGACTGTCACTCTAGTAGAGTGTCATTCACGTATTTCACCTCTCAAGAATGATAAGAAATTATGTTAAATGAAGACGGGCCCTAGTAATGTTCAAACCGAATGTCGTAACCACATCCCTTGGAGCGATTGCAGAATATATCAACAAATTTTCAAACACCATTATTCCAATTATAATTTGTGTTTTAGGCATTATTATTTTATGTGTGTATATTATTCACAGTGACAACAGGACTAGTTGCAATCTCCCAAACAAAGTTGTCTTCCCTTGCAGTCCGCTGGATAGCAAGACTTGTGTGGAGAGTTGACTAGTTGTCTCTTCTCCTGATTTCATGATATGTAATTCGACTATGTATAACAGCCCCCCCACCCTCCTTGTTTTTGCATTGTAATTATTTATGAGGTGTTGGTCTAGAATCGAAGACAAGTGTTTGAATTTTCTGCCAGATTTGGTGATTTTGTAGACCGGCGGATCAGGGGGTAGACATATATGATTTAGGAAATCATCTACGAAATACGATTCCTTTGACCAAGCGTATAGAAAAATCCGAGATGGCCAACCTAGGCCAAGGATTGTCATCGATTTAACATTGAAAAGAACTAGGGAGGGATTACTAGTATGAGACCGTCATTGTCAACTTGACCAGTAGTAGTTATTCCCCCTTGTATTTGATTTGCTTCTTGTTTTAGACTGTTATTCACTAAATTGACGTGAAACTCTATATAACGAAATGAAATGGGGTTTAACGGCCTACTGTGGGCCAATGAAGACGGGGATACGCCACACAGTGTGTTATGAGGGACGTTTTGCCCGGACAGCGGCGCTACGACATTCTCTTATATCGAATTCCAACTGCCAAGGGATCATTAACGTACACGCCAATAGGTACACGGGACGTCAGTTTTCGTCCCATTCGAGCGACTAGACACCTGTCATAGTTAGGCCCTCCGCCCCGCACCACTGACAAGGGGAAACCACGTCCGGAAATCCCGATGAACTTTTCGGTCAACACCGGGATCGAAAAAGGACCTCCAGGATAGCGAGACAGCTCCTTACTCACTTAACCACCGTGGTTCTTCACTATATAAAAAATTTAGAGTATATTGTTTGTGTGTCAATTATAAAATAACTGTCAATTGTCGCTAATACTAAGGGATAAAAAGACGTCCCAATAAGATCACCAACCAAGACTATTAATGGCTTAGAATGTGACCAGTATCAACTGAAACATACTGTCACAGAAAGATATGGGTGTAATAAAACACATCGATCAGCGTTTTCCCAAGTTCTTATATGCCAGGGGCGTGGTGACCATTGATGTCGTAAGAGAATCAAGATCCCGTGGGAGCCAAACACATCAACGCTGTGAGGACTATTTGATGCATTTCTTTGCCATTTTACAGAACAGGAAATAATTAGAGGCGGTGCAAGGATACGAAGCTATTGTGCCAATGAAAGGTAACAGGGAAAAGGCGTACATTAGACACAAAGATTCTGTTTATAGTGTTTAGTTTTATACAGAAACGTTTCATTAACATATTTATTTACAATAGAAACAAAAATAAATCACAATTATTAATAATATATTTATCTTAGCACAAAATTTCATAAAATCACACTTGTTTTGCCTTTTTATAATAGCGAGACAGAATGGTTTTTAATTGAACAATAATAAGTTTGCTGGTCTTATTCCACGTATATATATATATTCATCAGGTATGAATACACAACACAATAGCGGAATATATAATTCTAATGGTGGTAGTACTGTCCAAAACACTGGATTATAAAAAACAATTTCGCCAATCAATCTATATATATAAATTTGTGGGTGCAAAGAGTTCATCGCTACTAAGCCACGGACACATGTTTCAAAACTATTAACACAATCGGCGAAAAGGTAAAGTTCTTCAGAACGAAGATGATTACTATTATATCTGTATGCCCTATATGCATCCCACCTTTTTCATTAGGCCGGTTGGCGTAGAAAAAAAGTAGGATGTTAAACCACGCTTCACCCCTTCCCACCCAATCACCCCCCACCCCCATGGTTCTCCTCCCACCACGCCATCACCAGAGACACGTGTTTGTACCACTGACGATGAAGTCCATGTTGAGATCTATCTGTTTTTTTTTTTAAATATAAAAAATAGTCCAATAAATGTTATGTAACGTATACACAAATATATTCCCATCCTTTACATAAATGCGACTTTACCTATCACTATCTCTTGTTAGCTACACGTGCAATACGGATAATGTTATTAACGGCTCGGTTATCTTAATTATCAAGGTCAAAGAAGAGTCTTTTTCAAACATGTATTTATAAGGCGTTAATGGGGTGACAAATAGGGATACACACAAAATGGTAAATTTTACATTTTATTTTGGTCAGATAGCATAATTTCTAAACAACAAAATACTGGTTTCTTTAGACTTTATAATAGCCTACTTGCCATTATAGCTCCGCTTTTATATTAATGTTATTGCAGGAAAAATTCATGCCGACGCTATACAAAATCGAAAATGATTTGAAGTTATGCTGACTGACTAAAGCTGTTTTAATTATAAGTATGAAATTCTCTCACTATACAGATGGATAGTTGAATTATCAATAGTCAAAATATCGACTTTCTGGCCGGTTCATCCCTAATCACCGCCCATTTTCCCCATAGTCACCAAGCACGATTATCATTGTCATTCGAGTAATAATACTGAGGACGGATTATCGTTATTTGTAGAGACGGTCTCTTTATTGATGCCCTAGCTTCTATGGGTGTATATATGTATATTATTCGATTTGAAGAGACTTCTTAAATTCGCACTTGTACTTTAGCGTTACTAATTCGTTGTGGGCCTGTAACTTGAGCATGCTTTAACGGCGACGAATCCTTAATGACCGTTACAATTATTACATTGTTACCAATTTTTAAAGGGTTTAGTTGTAGAATTAATTCCCATTTTATTCAAAAACCGGAGATCTGGGATCCGACGCAACAGATTCATTAGCATCTGGGGGTGGAATGACGTAACCGGATTTTAGTTTCATTTCATCAGGTATTTCCGATATTTGTTGAATCTCTTCCTCAACTTCCTTCACCTGTTCTATTGTCCCCGTTGTTGCCATTTTATCGTTGTTCACGTGAGAGTTGCCTCCCGCTGTTTCGTCCACTGTTATGCCCGTGACAGTAATAGTACCCCTTGTTTTGGTGGGCACGTTGTCATCGGGACAACCTTTCGTATCTAATTTATCTTTGAACAAAGACTCTTCATCGTTACAGACTCGATGGTTCCGGCTTCTAAAGGTTTGGAAAATATCGTAAGCTTCGTTCGTCAACGGAATAGTTACCATAGCAATAGTCGCTAGGTACGCCCAAGCATCAGATAATGCGACCTAAAAATAGAAAAAGAAATAGTTTGTTATTATTCAATACTTCCTTGTCAAATTAGCCAGGAATAGAACCGTGTAGGAACGGACTTTGAATTTACCATTCCAATTTTTAAAGAAACAACCGATTTCATTTGCCTTTAAGGACATCTTAAAATAACGATCATCCCAATCATGTCTCTTGACATGGTCAAACATTTTATCCTAGACCTATATTTGCGCCAATTTAATATAGAGCTGGAAATCAATTAAGACAAGTCGGAAACACAGCTGCCCGAGAAAATTTCCCTCACTGCATAGCGTATACCCAATCTGATTAACATACAGATCTATATTTCGTTTCGTTTTTTTTATACTTTCGATGGCCTTACACTACATGAAGATCTGACAAGTTATAGCGATGGGTCACGTCAGGGGTCAAAAGACCGACTTTTGACTCTATGACGTCAGACATTTGATTAACCAATCAGCATTGGTGTTACTAGTGGATTACCCACAGTTCCGTGCAAAACACGCCCAAAGCTCGCCGTAACAGACCGTTTCATTGGCTTATCCCTGACACCATTCAGAACACGAGTTAAATAACAACTCTTCCAGATCCCTGTGTAGTACAGACGAAATTTTGAACTTTAAAAAAGAAACGAAATAGAATCTGTGTTTTAACCAGATTGAGCGTATGCCTGTCTTCATTAGCCCTATTTATACAAAGGTAGAACTTTAAATCTTATTTCGATTCCTTTAAGAATGTTATGACTGTATTTAGAAGCAACTGATATATGAACTGTTTCGTACAAGCAGATATGTCATTTTAACTTTTAATTCAGATTAATGAGCGTTACTATATTAACGACAATATTATAAAGCATGATTTACTTGTAATAATAATTACATCCGACTTTATTTTAAAACTGGAAACCGACGTCGATAAAATTCTGAACATGTAGACAATTAGCTTTTTTATAATTATTGAAACATGCTTCTAAAGATATTTCCGGTGTTGTGTTTCCTTCGAAAAGGATCATGTTGTAAAGGGATCATGTTTTAAATTTAGAACCAAGAAGCAATAAACATGAAAGTGCAGCGTGCATGAAAGCAATAACACAAGTTGACATTTCGCTCAGTAATTTAAGACCGCCTTGATTTGTTCTGTGACGTGACAGTCTGTCTTTGTTAAAAAATAAATAGATAAAAACAGTGTCAAGATGTTACCGAAAATGAGCAAACAAGCCGACTTTTGCGATACCCAAATTTAATCGCTTGTTTTTGACTACTCGATATAACACAAGTAAATCAATCAATAATTTATTTTCACCTAAATCAAATAGGTTTAGTCCCTTAAAGTATGTTTTGATTTCTATCGGGGGGGGGGGGGGGTAGGGTGGGTGTGTGTGTGTGTTGGTGTCGGGGGGGGGGGGGGTAGTCGAATGGTCAAACGCGTGCGCTTTAGATCAATGACGTCCGGCATCGAGACAGATGGTGCGGCTTCGAGTCCACACTTGTAAGTGTCAAAAGGGTCACCTGTACCCCGCTTCCTCCTACAGCTAAAGATCCCATCACCAAAGTAAATTATGGAAATAAAATTGAACCATACGATATTCCTAAAATGACCTAGTTTGTAACGAGTGGACGTTAAACCCTAAACTCTCTCTCTCTCTCTCTCTCTCTCTCTCTCTCTCTCTCTCTCTCTCTCTTTCTCTCTCTCTCTGCTCTATGAACTTTAGGTATATTATCTCCCTTTATCACAGACGCGATTCCAACACATAACGGAATAGATTCGTTTACAGTCGTTGAAAGTTTTATTTGTAGTTCAAAACTCACCGAAAACTAAATAACTATTAGCATAATGGAAGAACATAAAATTAAATAAATAAGGAAAGTTTGGACTTAGATATGAAGTGGATCATAGAATAATCATAGCGGAAAAGTGGACACATTCCAGCAACCTTGACATTGAACGAACTTTTGCAACTCGATTACCACAGCTAGACATTTCAATTGGAATGATGGTATATTTTCTCTCAAGAAATCTGAGAGGTCTTGACCTGGGTCCATGACCAATCGAACTTTCGAATTTAATGACTAAAGATGTAAGAGTATTGCGCGAAGGCCTCGTTAAGATGTACGAAGTTAAAGCGAGGCCAAAGCTTCTATTGGAGATGGTGACTGATGGGACTTGTTGTGTGCCTTTAATTTTGTCGACTGATTACAGCCTCGTTATCAAGAATGGTTTTGGCCAAGGTTTTGGAATCGTGGTAGTTGAAAACGGATGAACATTTATATTTAATATATGAAAAGCCGGATAGCACACGATAGAACCCACAATTACATTGGATAATATCAACAGACAACGGCACATAGATCACCTCAGAAGGGGTGTCTAACTACATCTTTCCGCGATAGACACAGCCTCTTTTGTCAATGTGATACGCACCTGAAATAAAATTTGGAACTGGCTTAGCTTAACTCCATGAAGATCCTACTTACCCAGCTCCTGAAACTAGTCAAAGACATGACTTCAACTGCAACCATTATACTTGGCCATATAACTACCAATAATATGGTTAACGTCACTGACCCACCAACCGCTAGTAATTTAGCGTATTTAAACGTTTTAGCCACTTCATCTAATGATGGTCTGTTATCTAATTGATGAGCTCCAATTAGATTCAAATCTCTGCAAAATACAAAATGGGGTTTATTAACATTCGCAGAACCAAATATTATTTTTACCAAGCTCTACTTATCTGGTTCTTGTTATACTATATTAAAACACAATTTATATGGAAAACAATCACTGAGTTTATTTCACACTACGTTTCAACAAGTTCCTCTTGTCCATCGGCACTCTTCGAAAAAAGCTTATTACGGCTCTGCTAATGCATGTACGATTGACATGTAACTTAGCAGGCGTGTTCCTTGGACAATTGTGCATCTATTTGTGATATGGCGTCACAATTCCATGATGGCTGCGATGACGTCATAGTTAGTTCCTGGTCCATTGTACGGAGGTACTTGTTCTTACGCACACCTTTATAGCGCGATATCCACCATTGTGCTCTAAGGTGCTACACAAAAATAACAACTAAGTACTCGAAGAAAGTTAATTAGAGGCTCGTCTAAAACAGAGAGTTTTGAAAAGACGTTTAAATAACCACCCAGCATTCTTTCAAGGGGACTAGCTAACCAAGAGGTCCGTTGCTGGCCGATAAAATTCACTGTGATTTTCCAGTGTGGTTCCCCCTTGATGTATGGCCTGACAGTGACACAAATAATGTTATCTATTATCGAATATACAAAAAAGTACCATATTCAAGCTATTTGTATTATCAATACGCAATATTACCATCCTAGCTCATGACGCACCCCCATTGCTGACATCCATTTTAGTGTACCGTATCCCACGATTCAAACACTCCTAAATAGTCGGTTATAAAAGTGCGATTGTTATATACAACAAAAACTACATTGATTAATGAAAGTAAAAGGTTGGGCCATATATATTAATTAATGAAACATAAGTACTTTAACACCGGGTTTCAATGACGCTGATCCAGTAGACGTTATCGTTAATGAACCGATAATCGCCTCGATTCCCTTGTGTTGTGCCATCTCAGACAGTGTAATTGTTCTAGCTAATGTAATTCCCTTTGTATCAGGAACCGTGTTAATATCGAATATAAGGGTTTTGTTAGTGTAAAATATCAATAAGCGTGATAATGGTATACTTTTATCGTGTAGATTATTAATATCATAATTATTTACCTACTTTGGTTAATCTGTTCTACCAAGTATTAATTTACACATCAACATTATACTCGTGAACTAAACAAGATCTGCCACTTAATAATGAAGTAGGATTTACAAGGACAACCTGCATACACATTTATATAACTGTTCAATATTTTATAAGCCGCTGGCTATAAAGTATTGGACAGCTGCGAACATTATGGTTGAATGCGGTGCAAAACACACGACAATCAACCGATAATCAAATCCCTTTGCTCCAATGCATCAGACTGCTTGCTTTTATTTGTTAAATGGCAGTGTTACATTCTGTTTGCTATACACATATAATCATCAATTTGGGATTAAATAAAGCACAACTTACTTTGAATATGTTTCTGTCCACGGATTAAGTGGATTATCTATATCTCTCGTGTTTTCCCAGATTTCTTTTCCCGCTGCTGGGGAGAAGTTACGGTTAGTAACCAAAGATAAAACGATGGTAATTATGCCTCCGGACAAGATGGCGGTTAAGTTCCCACACAGCATAGACAATTCTTTACCTGGAAATAATAAAATGGTACATAATATTTTCAAGTTACATAATTATTGGCCTTATAATTAATTAATACAGAAATAAAACTGATGGACCGGTCTATAGTTTAATGAACATATTAAAAATACATTATGCAAGAGCTAACACTTAACTTATCCAGGCTATAATCAACTTTCGATGTTATCGCTAGCCTGCGATATTTAATGGATTGGAATCCGATCTGCTGCTCAATGCTCATTGATGATTAAATCAAAAAATGGATAATCGAGGCTATGTTTTTTTTATCGTACCGACTTTAGTAATTATGGTCGACCCTAGGCCTAAAATTCAAACGCTAAATTCTCGGTTCAGAGTGGATCAATTTGACTGAAATTTTCAGCAAATTCCCTTTACATTATCAAGTTTTTAACTATTATAGTGCGAACTGCCAGCTCTGTATGTAATCTCCCATAATGTATCTTTAAAGAATAAAAAAATTATCTTTAGGACGTTGTGTTATCAACTAATTAGTGTTACGTATGTAATCAGATCGACATGTTCGAGTCTGAACAGCTAAATCCGGAAGTTGCCCTTACCACGAGTAAAATTAGTTTTAACTAGGTCATCTGCGATAGGCGGAGACCAAGAAAACGGATTAGTCGGAGAATTCCAGGCCGGCATAATTTTATCTAAAACTGGTCTTTGACACTCCTAAGTTTTATCTTGTTTTTAGGGATACTACTGCAAAACCGCAAAACCACCATTTTCACTGCATGGTCATTTACGACACCGACCAACCGATGTCATCACGTTATGCCTAGCAGTTCATACTGGTTTCCTTTATCACATCGTAAAGCCACACAAGCATGGCTTGTTTTGTTTTATGTTGTTATATAAAAGAGTAACATTTTGTACCTGTGTTCGCTATGAAGTTTGAAAGGCCACCTTCATATGTGGAAGCTACTGACATCCATACTATTAGCGCCAAAACAGTTCCCGATATACTCCCAGATATCATAGCACACGATGTCAGACGTTCCCAATACATGGCCAATCCGATGGGTATTACTGCGGATCCAATCAAAACCCCCATAAATAAGTAGACCCAACCAAGACTTAACTGAAAAGCAAAAAGTATATTTATAATCCTCTCTATTATTGAATATATCAAAATCTACCTTTACCTACATAGCTATTATTGAATATATCAATATCTACCTTTACCTACATAGCTACTTTTGTTGTGTGTGTTTATTATGGTTTATATCTGGGACATTTCAGCCATGGGCCCAGTTTCGATACGGGGCGCTTAGTCGTTCAAATGGCATTTCAGTCTATACAGTGCGACTACAGAGCACTCCATCCAACGCCACATATTGACACCGAACACGATGTTAGATAAATGAATTGGTGGGGAGTTTATTTATTATTACCTTACGAACCCAAATAAACATTATCAGAGTTATCGTTATTGATACCAGGTCGATAACAATTAATGCCTCGCCAATACCATACATTATACTTAGGTCATCATGAGACTGACGCGGTATTCAATGTGTAACAATTAATGCCTCGCCAACACCATACAATAAACTTAGACAACCATGCCACTAACGTGACATTCAATGTGTAACAATTAATGCCTCGCCAACACCATAAAATAAACTTAGGCCACCATGAGACTAACGTTGTATTCAATGTGTATTGTATTAAACCCATCATTAAGTTAAAATCATCATGGAACTTCATCTTTAAATGGCAAGTTATGAATTCAAATGAAATGGGTTTAAAGTTTTACGTTTTGGCCTCGATTGGAGTAATGCCTCACACAGTGTGCTGTGGAGGCAATTTTGCAAGGGCAGTGGCGCTACAGCCTACTCTTATATCGAATACCAACTGCAAAGGATTCTTTAACGTGTACGCCAATGGACACACGGTGCCTATACCTTGTCCCTTGCCAGGTCATCTGTCCTGAACCACACCGGAAAACCCCATGAACTTTCTCGGCTAACACCGGAATGGAAAAGGGGACCCCCAGATTAGCGAGCCATCGTTTTACTCACTGAGAGATCGCGGCTCCAGGAAAATGAACAATTAAATAGCAAAGAAATATCTTACACTCATGATATCTAAAACAATGGTTAACGGTATAATAGACATGGACACCCACACAAGACACCAATTCTTCAAACCATTTAATAAGTCTAAATACACTCGATATTGACCATGGACGGCACACTTATATTCTGGTTTTATAGCTCGATTAATTGCAAGCCGGTTTCTGAAAAATACAAACAAAAAAACATTGGCTGCCATGGTATGAAACACTCGTGAAACTGCAGTATACAAATTGTACTCGTTTTCGTAATTCAATAGTAGGCGGTATGGGGTTGTTTGGAGGACGCGGGGGGGGGGGGGGGGGGGGTAATTCCGACCGCAGTGTACATATATTTTAATGACAGGGTGCATTATTTCCGATGGTTATACGGACCTTTTCTTTACTTCCAGATTAACAATTCCAGCGAGTTTCGAACAACCAGCCCTGTATAGTATTTATCAGATTTCGAAGACAAAGGTGGTCAAACTGTCATAATTGGTCCGAGTGTTATCAACTTTCAATAGGCCTCCATATTTTAATTGTTCTATATATGAATTCCATGAAACTCCATGAGATCTAAATCGTGTTGTGTATATTCGAAAGTATTGCTATATATAGAAATAAAAGAATATCCTGCATTACTTTTATTAAGTTGGGTAAACTAAAATAGACATGTCAAAAGTAGAGAACACGTGTAACCAAATGTTCATTAAGATGACAGAATAACTGGATTAAATACGATTCAAATAGTCGATGATTAAAGAAAGCTTTAATTTTCTTAAACACACCGCTCATTTGATTGTTATTACAGTCAATTACAAGCTCAGTGTATCCATATTATTACAGATTTACAACCGTTTGATTACCAACTATCAGAGACAAACATCGTAAAGCAACACATTAGTTTCGATAATTACTTCCTTTCAATGACGTATATAAAACAATTCATTGTGACGTATGGTGGCGAGGGACTCAAAGAAAAGAGAATTAATTTCTATTTACTATACCGGGTGGGAAAACAGCAGCGTGGGTGTAGTCAATCTTAAACTATTGGCATACATGTAAACTAAAGAGACGAACACCGTACCCCATACTCCTAGTCAGACCTGTCAGAAAGAGAGAGAAATGGGGCTTAACGTCCACTCGACACAAACTAGGTCATTTCGGGACTAACATAAGGTTCAATTTTATTTCAATAGTTCGCTTGCTCGTAGGGGTCTTTAGCAGTGGGAGGAACAGGAGGACCCGGAGAAACCCCACGAGGTTGGACAGGCGACCCTACCCCTTGTCATGTACAACCGGGGAATCGAAACCACGCCAGTTGACTCAATAACGCACGTGCTAACCATTCGGCGGCCGGGTTGGAATACCCCCGGAAGGCAGATTCGTGGATTCGCATGGAACCTTTCTGCACAATTTTAGACCATTCGACATCTCTGCACTATGGTTCGTCGCACGTCGCAGTACAGATGAGTTCGTGCAATTAGACCCTCTACTTACTTGTCATCCTGGTGACATGCTGAACAATGCGTCATACTCTGACATTTACATTTATCACGTGGGTTCGCCATTCGACCACGACCCTTTCCACAAAGAATACAACTGTTGGTATCAGTGGTTAAGCGATATGGCTGCAAAATATGAAAACAAAACAAATGTAAAGGAAAGAACCTTTCGTCCAACTAATTGCCATCGATAGTATAAAAAACGAAACGAAATATAGATCTGTATTTAATTAGAGTGAGTTTAGGGCGAATCGGATACTCTTTTCTCACCCATTTTGATGGTCTACCTTGGTTAATGAAATGCAATTAAATAGGGTTTGACGTCTCCCTGTTCTGCCCCGACTGGGCTTATGAAGACGGCCATGCCCTATACAGTATGCGATGAGGTCAACTTTGTCCGGACAGGGTTACTGCGGATTATATACTCGTATTCCAGCTGTCAAGGGTTCTTTTACGTGTTCGTCAATGTGTTCACGAAACCTCGGTTTTCGTATCATCCGAACGACCATTCGTTGTCCCTTGCAAGGCCCTCCGTCCCGCACCACTGACAAAGGGGGCCATCCTTGATAATATTCAAGTTAATTACCTTCAAATACAGAGCGTAGACATCGAACACCAGAATTGACGTCACAGCCATGACCTCTGATGACCCTGTTGACGTTATAGCCATCAATATCATAACCAACATTAAAAGCTCTCCCTTTTTCCCTAGTAAGGTTTGAGCTACAATCGGTGGTACCAACCCTAAAATATAAGAAATTACGAGTTTAGTTTAGCGTCCAGTTTGATTATTTTGGGATTATAAACATTGTTTGGACACGATGGTTTACAAGTCGCATGTCCGCCCGTGACCACAAAATTAAGCAAATCCGGCCTGTCGAGAGAATTTTTATGTGCTAGATCGGTACAAATTTTGCCCCTCCCCCCACATACTTCTGCAAGCACACTTAAACCACCGGATCGGGTCGTGGTTTCGGCGGCACGAATATTGGATATGCTGATGTAAAAAATATACACTAAATATGTATTCCACCACTCCTTGGGCCTGCTTCGATCGCAAAGGGTAAAGAATTAAGTGTAGTTTCAGAATTGAATATTGATTTGACACAAAATAGAGCTTTTGGAGCGTATCGAAAGCGTTGTGTGTCAATGGGAATGGACAAGGCTACTAAGGAAGAAGATTGGGCATATACATGTATTAACAGTGTCAAGTCTTTGGCTGTTTGTTAGACAGTGGGGTGGTTGTTTGTTAGACAGTGGGGTGGTGTATCGGTGAGTATGGCTCTGGACAACTAACCAAGGGTCAGTTTTTCGGGGTAATCAATACCTTCTACTGTGATTGAATCCCACATTCCCACCCCAGTCATAGACTTGCATGTTGTAGAGTCCAGATCATTTCTTACCGAATCAATCCTATGTAAACCTACTATAAACGTGAACCACTTGAGAGGTGCTTTTTACGATCCTCAAAGGTCTTGGACATAGGTTCAACGCGGCAAGAATATTCATTCACTTTAGCTCACTCATTCCGTTCGTTTGACACTTTCCCCCCTGGTTGGATAAACTAGTGGTTTGACGACAGGTGGTATCTGGTCAGATCTATTTATCTCGACGATCGGTGCCTGAATACTGTCAGACTGCGTCTATTTTTCAAAATTTTCTGGGTCAGGTCCCCCATACGCCCCGCCCCGCCCCGTAAGGGCTCGCTACTTTGGCGCTCATGAGAGAGCTTCGTCGAGGTTCGCAAGTCCGTTCGTTTTCCACTCTGGTCGGATAAACTAGTTGCCAGGCGACAGACAGTATCTGGTCAGATCTATTTATCTCAACTGATACTGCCAGATTGCATTTTCCAGCAGTCTGTTTTTCAAAAATTTCTGGGGAGACCGTCCATACCCCTAGTTGAAACTTGTGCCTGTGCTCCCTTAACCTTAGGCTTTGACCAGGTTCGGTCCCGGTGTTGACCAATAAAGTTCATGTGCCTGGCATGTGATACACGTAAAATAACCTATGGGTGCTAATTCGATGAAGATGTCGCATCCATGTTTCCTAGTACACTGTCTTTATTAGTTCCGCTGATGCAGAAATGTTAAACGTCATTTAATGTTTTTGTCAGTCGAAGACATATAATTTTCTGTTAGTTTTTGACGATCTCAAAACACGATAACGTAATATATTGGCGCGATATCGTACAAAAAAAGATGGCTATTTAACGTGTTAGAAATTGTTTTGATAATATATACAATCATGATGTTAAAGTATATTTTTAACTAGCTGCAAGGCTTTCTTAAATATTTTTTCGTGAAACCGGAAGTAGTACAACTCCGGAACTGGAAGTGGTAATCCAACTCCACTAGCATTTAGTAATTAAATACACCCACACAAGGTACACTTTTATGGATACACAATTACTGAATTTATTACTATGCAAACAACGTTTCGACGAGGCTGTTTTCGTCTTTATCAATACGTAATTATGTGCAATTCTTGAATCTATACAACGTAATAATATAGTTAGGTGATATATGCTATCTATATGAATAATAACGGTTGGCCACTGGTTATGTGATAAACACAACTGTCATGTATCATGTGTCTTCTTCATTATGAAAATATGAAAATAGCAGGACATGAGGTCTACAGTCAAATTTAGTGGGGTTGAGAGACATAAAATGTAGATACGAACTTGTATACTGTTGTTCCTGAGTGATAAACAAACGTTTTATCTGCTAATGAAAATACGTACACAAGTGAAATCCAAAAATAGAGTAGATAATTACAATAATATACGCCAGAGATGACGATCACTGACTAACAAGATCTGTGAGAGAGAATATATCAGACGACCGACGGCGTATATTGCTACAACAATCCTTTGTTTTAAATAACCCCGTACAGCCTCACCCTCGGGGTTGGGTGGCCGAATGCTTTAACGCGTGCAGTTTAGATCATAATGTTTGTCATTGAGTCTAGTGGCGCGATTTTAATTCCCAACTTGTAAGATGTGGGGCAGTCTTATTAAAACACAGATCCTATTTCGTTTCATTTTTTATAGTTCAAAATTTCGTTTGTGACGGCAACTTCTTAATCAATCAATGTCTGACGTCATTGGGTCAAAAGACGCGCGTACGACCCCCTATGCGACTTACCGACCTCGCAATACCTTCCCACGTCGGATGACTTTTATTTCTAGACTTTTGCCTTTTTTATCTCATAGGTGGGTGGGGATGGATGCATTCGGCAAACCTCGACAGATTCTACGCATCTAATCTTAGCTGTATGACGAATTCCGCAATATTGAACTATTTTAAAAGGTCCTGGGTGAAATATGGCTGCGCCCATGGAGATTGCGTTGGAGATTGTATTATATCAACAAACGTCAAGTTTGGCATTGGGTTTGGTGAATTACCAGGGAATTTATCAAACCAGCAGCCTTGAGACAATATATCTGCTCGTTTAGTTATATACACTCGACAAAAGACGCCATTTTGGGACTTTTTTTGTAAAAGTGGCACGTTTTCCTGTTAAAGTAAACCGGTAGCCGCATCGCAAATGTATGGGCGTAGGTACATATCAATTACTATCATACAGCCGAGGTTAGATGTAGGGTACCGGAATCTTCCGAGGTTTGCCGAGTGGGGATGGATGGCCGAATGGTTAGCGCGTGCGCGCTGCATCATAAGGTCTGTCGTTGAGTCAACTGATTTCGATTCCCCGGTTGTACCTGACAAGGAGTAGGGTCGCCTGTCCAACCTCGTGGGTTTTCTCCGGGTCCTCCGGTTTCCTCCCATTGCTAAAAACCCTTCGCACAAGCGAACTATTAAAATACAATTGTACCATACCCTTCCGTACTATGAACATCAGATAATCGTTTCGCTAACCACACTACATTCTACTACATTCTGTATATTAACTATCCAATATAACATTTTGACTAATTAATTGAGAATGTTATGTGAATATTACATGTGTAAAGGTATTTATTGACTATATATTATAAAAACAAATACATAACAATCTTATTTGTTTTATATTTCGATAACCTAAAAATGTATATTCCAATTAATTCTAAAGAAAACAGAATTGTTAAGAAATGTATTGATTGTGCCGATGGCTCTCCCCACAAATTCAATAATTCGCTTATGCGTAGGGGTCTTTAGCAGTGAGAGCAGGATAAAAACCATGAGGTTGGAAACATGAAATAAAGTTTTTTTTGTACTTATTATTAAGAAGAAGAATCAAACCTACCTGCATCGACATCAGCATCGACTAGTAATGGAACACCTTGTCTGGTACTTAAAGCAACATAAGCCAGTCCCATGGTTGTAGCTAGAGAGAAGGGGATGGCGAACCATGATAATCCTCCCAACAAGAAGCCGATTACGCCTTGTTTCGGTTTAGCTGCTACAGCACTTTGCCAGTATGACTGGTCGACGAAAACAGTACCAAAATTGCCTATAACGATATTTTTTGGATAAAATAAGTTTAGAAAATGAGCCGAACATAACGAAAATCTGATACCACTGCTTATTTGAGGAGCTTACTGTTGTAGTACTTCTGTTTTAAACCATTAGACTGATGACTCTGTCACTGGCCTTTAGCCCCCTTCGACTTTTGATATCCACGTCCAACCTATTGTTTGAGTTTGCTATACGTAGTGTCCCCTGATGTTGAGCACGAGACAGGATATGATTATCATTTTTGAACAACCAATACCACTTCTCATTGGTATTCACAAAGGTAGCAAACTTTTGTAGTAATGTATTTATTGACGGTAAAATCCATCGTAAATGCCCTTCTAGCAGAAATAGGTCCGATTCAAAAAAGCTGCAATCGTCTCATGAATACGCCCCCCCCCCCCCCGCCCCGTATATTCCTTGGAAAACTAACCGATTGTTCATTTTATTTCGGTAAGATAATATATATAGTATTCTTACTGGCAGTAAATTATATCTATAATTCAAATAGACATCCATTAAAAAGAGCAAAACGTTCACATTGGTGGAGGTAGTGGCAGAGGTGGGGTGGAGAGGTGGCACCAAAAATAAATTGAACAACTTTGAATCGCTGGAAAATTCCTTGTTTACACTAATACTGTCATTAGCGTAGAAACCTCCACCGGATTTTCCGGGTGGTTTCCCCTTGGCAATTGTAAGGACTGGGGGCTTGACAAGGAACACTGTATGACGTGTGTCCGTCTTCAAAAGTCCGGATGGATTTGAAAAGCATTTACTTTCCTTTAACGATTAGAAATTGTGAAGTTATTGCACTCACAATAGGAGACTGATATTTGTTTGACCTGACACACTGTTGGTTACAACTAATTAATCAATGTTATCAACAAAATACACAACATATTTATTAATTGTTTGTTTAGATAAACAAGCATTGATCGACGGATACCATTATGGATGTCAAAAAGACAAAACAATGGCACGAACTTTATTATTTATCAAACCCATGACAATTTTTTAAGCTGTGTAATCATAATTCCTGTTTTCATTTAGAATGTTGCCATGGTTTGTATATATTAGTAAACGAGCGTACCATTTTCATTCTGCTTGAACTGTGGCAAATTAACTATTACGTACAAAGTCCGCCTTGGGAGAACCTTACATATTCAGATAAAGCACCAACCATTATACTTTGGAATGTATGTCTGCATTAAGACATAAAATAATCTCATGGGATCTTTAAAACAAAAGCTCGGAAGAAATTATGATGCTGCATGAGTAGATAGTTAGCTCATTGATCGCTATCTTATACCATCTTATATCTTATATCTCCAAAAAACTGAAATAATTTTGCATCGCTGCGTGTGACACTGCATTGGTTTGCATATGGTCCCATTAAGTCAAGGTGGCCAGGTGAATGTCAAAACCGTTTATCTGGACACGTAACCCTTTTAAGATTTTGGGTTAATTTTTTCGTTTGGTGACCTGATAATCAATTGCCGTTTCTTTAGAGGTCTATACCATGAAACTATTCAAATGTTTTTCGGACAACTAGTTTCATTATATTATGTATAGCAACCGTTGTGAAACTAAATAGGAGAGATTTCGATTTGAGAGTTTTTGAAACGCAATTTGATTAAAATACAAATCCCATTTCGTTTCGTATTTTATAGTTCAAAATTTCGTTTTACTTGTCTTTACTACACTAGGATCTGGACGAGTTGCTATATTACAGTCGTTATGGTTGACGTGAGAGATTAGCCAATGAAACGGTCTGTTATATCGAGTACAACCGGCCAGATCTTCATGTAGTGTAGGCCATCGAAAGTATAAAAAAACGAAACGAAATATAAATCTGTGTTTTAATCAGATTGTTTGAAACAGGTTTCGAAGACCACCTAAAGATAAATTTTAAATGTTCCTATTATTAATTAGAACAGGTTTCGCTTTAGGTTTTATATTTTACGTTGACATTTATTTCTTTAAATCGTCCTAGTGCAAATACGGAAAACTTGACCATTTTGACCTCCGGCGTCACAAAGAAGAAAGATGAAATTAGCAAGTTTGCATTTATATTGAAAGAGTGATTACTTTCGATCATTTTCAGCATGTTTTCATGATACAGGAGTGACTGCGCATTCACTTTCAGTGTAAATGACCCCATTTGAACTTTGATCCCATTTGATTGGAAACGTACGTATTCTACGCAAAACTTTACTATAGAAAAGTTGGGTCTGGATTTGTGCCTATCTTTCTATATAATGCCATCGTTAACCAGTTCCAAGTGATAAATGATTTTACATTAGAATATACAGGCGCCATTAATGTATTCTATTACATGTGACGCATTAGGAGAATGAAATATTTTTAAAACATAGATAATACAAATTATTTTCTTTTAAGATAGACACCCACAGCGTTAAAATACACCCACGGGCCGACTGATTTAGCTATGGTGAGTTAAAAAAATGAATAAAGATCATGTATGATTTTACTCATCAAATTAAACGAATGGAAAAAATGAACTGGGGTTTAACGTCCAACGTTTATGCACCTACATGGCTAATAAAGACGGGACAAATAAAATGACACACAGGGTGATCTATCAAAAGTCCATTGCAGGGCGTATCTTTGGAAATTATTTCCTGGGAGATAAAAGTTTACTTACCAACAATATTGATAAGGCCAAACATTAATCCTGGATAAGAGACTATCGTAAGGTAGCTACCATCCAGATTACCCTCAGGTGCCAAACTACATGACACCAGATTATACACCTTTTCTACACTACCTGTGAAATGGTTATAGTAATATTATAATTATGTTTATGAAGGTTTGCCATTGTCCGAATTGGCTTAAAGGGGCTAAATCTCTAACTCGATATTTTCTACGACATTTGAAATTAAATCACGAATTACAATTCAATATTGTTCCATTTCAATCAATATTGATATTGTTATCTTACCGTGAAAATATTGATACTTATATCTAATATTTAAGACACAATGGTCATTTTGTAATCAGTAGGCCTACGGTAGCCCACACGAGTCGTGTGTTTTATGGTTTCGGTGCCATTTGTAATAAACAAAGAAAAAACATATCCTACACGAAACACGGAAGTGCTTAACTATGGCTGATTCACAAACGACATAACAATAATAAAGAAACGTGAAGAATGTACTAAGCAGATCTAAACGGCTGTCGTTCAATTTGGACCGTTCACGTATTTCATCGACCATATACTTGATTATAAATTACAATACTATGCTTAAAAATTGAACATAAATCACTTTATATATATTTATATCATATTGATAAATCTCTTTAGATCCATTTTGTCTGTTTTAAGATTCCAAATGATAGAGACACATTCCTTTTAATTATTAAAGGTTAAGGAACCAACCAAACGTTCCTAATTGTACCAGTACTTATAAATTATTAAACTAATGCAGGGTTCATAGCGATCTTAACCGCAAATTTAAAAACTGCAACTCGGAGCTTCGAGATCAATATAAAGTGGATTAGGTGCGAAGACATACAATATAGAAATGACTGACTGTATTGTTAAAACTTACCCAACGGATTAGTCTCGTCATCGCCATCACTGTAGACTTTATTCAGAAATATGATGGTAACTATGTATATTATAGCTGTATTAAAATATGATACATAGAACGTGGCACCTAATCCACCAATCATAGTATAAGCACCAGTTATAAACGCTACTAATGTTGTAGCATACTGCACACTCATACCTTTAACTAAACTTGTTATAACTGCCGCACCGCCTGAAAACACAAATAGTTACAGATGGATAGAGAAGAAGACAGTTGGTTTAAATGGGTAATTTGGAGATTAATATATGACAAATATTTATTCTTTATTGAATAAATGCAATAATGGGATCGAAGCTAAGACCATATTTTGTGAAAGACCTAAAATTCGTATGAATTCATGTATTGTAAATGTTGCCAACATATGATTATTAATACTAAATTCACATTTTCTGATACTAATTATACGTTTAGAATCAATGATAATATGAATTGTAGTACCAAAAATATATATGTTCTTGTATATAACGAATTCAATAAATTTTATATATGTGAATGTGGTACTGAACTACGCGCACACATTCGAGTACACTTGCAACAGAGTATACAAACTAATCCTGTTTTAAAAGTTTCTAAACATTCAAAAACGTGTCCTAAAAATTAAATATTAAATGTAGTATTTTTCCTTTTAATAATGTCAAAATTGAGAATATAATCAAAAGACGTAATATGATATCACATTTTATTGACCAGTTCTTACCAGACTTAAATGATTTATTTGCGGCCATCCCCACTCCGTTAATATTCTAATAACATTTAAACAAATTTAATATATGTTTTTTATACTTTTTACTTCGACACTATATAAGGGGATTTTAAGCCCCGTAATTCATCATTTATTTTTACCGGTTTATTATGATATAAATCCTAACGAATGGTTAAGATTATAGCCAGATTACTATGGACAATTATTTCATCTTATTATTCCTATATAGACTATTGTCAAATCATATCAGGAAGACTATGTAAATTAATGTCATATTATATTTTATAAAACTTTATAACCTTTTCTGTGCGTTACCTGATATCATTTATAATCCATTGTCATGGAAATCTATTATTGTAAGAATTTGTATACATGTATGTAATTTCAATATCTTGTATACATTATTAATATCCGAAGACGTATTTTTTTATTTATTTATTTACTGGAATGAACACAGTAATTTTTGCGATCATCTAACAACTAAAGCAAATAGTTGCGTTGGTAAGTTTGTCAATTTCAAGAGTCGCATAAAAAAATGTTCATACCCAACATCAACATTGAGGTGACAATAACATTGGTAACCAGTGCAAAAACACAAACTATTTTATGACATCTGGCACCAAATCTGGCTCTGATTAGTTGCAGGAATGTCTTGGCACCAGGTGCACGTATCTTTAACTGTACGGCTAACATAGAGAATAACAGGATCTGTATTGTTGCTCCAGCAGCGTACCAAAATGTTCCACTAACTCCATACTAGAGAACAAAACATATAAACAAAATGAGTGGTCATCAACATCCTTTGGGAGGTGATCGGAAAGACAACGTCCTTTAATACTTACCGAAGAAACAAGATATCGAATTGAAGTTTATAATATCAGGATCAAGTTTCGGCCAAATACATTAAATGATAATGGGATAATCAGTGTTAGGTACTAAACCGTAAAGGGTATCGATGTATTAAAGTAACGATGTGTCATTTGCATTTTTCGCTTAAATAGCAAATTTCTGCCGACTTAATCCACACTAATATATACTCAGAACAATTAATTAAGAAAACAGATTATTTACTTAGTGAAGCTGCATTTAAAATTCAATTCCACATATCTTTGTAAAAACTTAACGTAATTGAACCTGTTTTGAACTGATATTTATTAGAGATTTATCCTTCAAATTATTGTAGTTTGTTTGTGATTCATATATAGTTCTAAAATGGCGCCGCTAAAATGGCGCATCGGGACTTCAATCATCTCGAGAGAGTGACCACCACCTTATCCACAAAAATGTCGAAGAAGTTGCATTCGGAATATGTAATTGTTTAGCTCGATATAAAACCCATCAAATCCTAGTAGAACTTAACAATTTTCTGAAAAGGACTAAAATTGGAACTCGACTTCTTAAAGAAGTTACCGTAAAGGGCACGAGTTGAACTTATTTTTGTCCATGGTATCTTTTTTTATTTGATTGTCATTTAACGTACCGCAATATACCATCGTATACGTTAAAAAATATGTTCTCGGTAAAACCGTTGATGTTCTACATTTGGAACACAAAGTTTAAAATACCCCACATTGCAATATGAATCGAACACACCATACGTTTATGTCCTTGGTTTGTCGAGAAATCAGTCATGCCTGCAGTACTGTCATCATCTGATACGACAGAGGTGTCACGCAATTAAGAGTACATCAAAATGTGACATGAGGTTGTCGAGAAAGAATACGAAGAACCTGCATCGTGCATAACACAGTATGACTCTAATGACCTGTGAATCATTCTATGTCTATGACCAGTAATTAACAACCCAGATACGGGTTAAGATTAGTATTGCTAAAAGTGCAGTTTGTAAAAGTATATGAACACTACCTTGCTGCCGACTGTAGAAGACTGTAGTAAGGTAGCTGCCCAGGTCCACTGTGATACAAGAGTTGTAGCAGTTAATCCGACATTCACTTTACCACCCGCATCAAACGAGGTATCGAGGGAATTCTGAAAAAAAAATATAACATTTTAAGTAACAAGTAGAACACTTTTAATTACTACAGGATTATTTTGAGCTTAAACACCTGCTCATCACCGAATTTCATCTGTTACGAGTCTTGTTATGTGCACGTCAATCTCTGTCCAAGAGAGTGTTTCGTATTATCCAAATGACTAATAGCATTCTGTCCAACAGAAATATTCTAGTCGAGAGTCCAGTATCTAGTCAAGTATCCGGATGGTTACGGGTCCTGGGGCAGAATTCGGGTTTGTTTGCGTTTAGATATATAAGCGACAGCATTAAAACTCTGCCTTTTACGTACCATTATTAAAAATGTGTCATTCTTATTATTTTTTGCTCCTTATTAGTAAATTTAGTAACGCAGACCGAAATGACTCTTAGAAACCTTACTACGTGACTGTAACTGCTCGACTATCGTTGACACTTTTTCTGAATTCAAGCCCTCATATTAAAGATATAATATCACAGGTCTTTCTTTCGGCTTTTAATATTATATAAATTATTTTTGAGACATATATTCACATGATCAGCCATCGGGTGGCCGATTTTGAAATGGATTTGAACACCCGCGGGATCTAAAATATTGACGATAAAATGGATAATCGAGACTTAGTCGAGGTTGTCCAGTATCGTTACTATACGATAAAAAGAAAACAGTCTACGCTTCATCTCCTCCAAACTACAAACACCCACAACTTCGAATAAAGTGATTTGAATGAAATGTTCAATACATCCATTTTTGAATAATTCTTACATAATGCATCCTTAAGAACATTAAAGAATCAACGAGTTTGAAGGATAGAATATTAAAAACTTTAAAGTGTCTTCTAGAAACCAATCTAAACTATGAACACAAAGTAGATTTGGTGCCATTTTAACATCAATGTTAAAGAGAAAAAGTGAAGTCCGTTCATGCGTAGAATAACTATTTAAGAGAGAAATATATATGGTGGAATGAAATCGACTACGAAGATAAACAATTATAGTCTTTACTTCCGTTAGGATTGATTGATTTCGGCCATTTTTGGGCCAATTCGCCTCATTGTTAGTACTATTTCTCAATGTGTTTGATCTGAAAATCTTCATTTGTATTTTAGTTCGGCATATTGTGTATAAGTTTACAACCTATTTACTATTGGCCACACATCATCTCAATTCTAATAAAAAAGAGAGAGGGAAATGGGGTTTAACGTCCACTCGCCACAAACTAGGTCATTTCGGGACTAACACATGGTTCAATTTTATTTCAATAATTCGCTTGCGCGTAGGGGTCTTTAGCAGTGGGAGGAAACCGGAGGACCCGGAGAAAACCCACGAGGTTGGACAGGCGACCCTTCGCCTTGTCACGTACAACCGGGGACTCGAAACGCCGCCAGTTAACTCAATGACAGACCGCACAGCACGCACGTGCTAACCATTCGGCCATCCAACCCCCCTCAATTCTAATCAAGGACAGACCTATTTAGAGTAAACTATTCGTTAAATTCATTGAAAACCACTTTAAAGATGCACTATGTAATAATTAGATGAATATACTGAACATGTCAGTCCAATTACTATATTCTGAGCGACGTCATGAATGTTTGAAGTTTTGATAAGATTTAAGCGAAAGTTTCGATTGTCAAGTACCGTTGTTGCTACGATAATAAACAAAGTCTCGATTTTTCACTTTAACGTTAATTTATAAAATGGCGTATTTTTTCCAACTCATTTTATATCTCTGTTACACGATGACTCAGAGAGTTGATTATGGGCGTGTCATGTGAATAAATGTATAAATAATGTTTTATATAACATATGAAGTCAGAAAAAAACCTGCAATAGGCCGATTTAGCTCTTGCATACTGCATCTTTAAAATATTTACGACTCTGTTTATTCATCGATTCCGCAATGAATTAACGTTACGTGTCGAAGTATTGCATATCAACAATGAACATTAATCTTATGTTATACATTAATTTATTCTATGGGTTGTTTTCTCGTCATTAACGCTTCCATAAGTATGCGAATCTCATGGATATAATGGATTGTTCATCGTATCCAAAGTAATTCTTTACATTATTGAATGTTATATCCTATATGAAAACAGTCAAATCCCAAAGGTGAAAGAACTAATTCTGCCAAACGCAAACATTTAATTCTTAACAATATTCAAGATATCTTGTCGATTTAGAAAGTGTTATGTTATAAAGTCCAACTGTATCTTCAATCTTGTTTGGTCATGTTGCGCATAGACAGATTAAATTAAGCATCATTTTTCACAAAACGTCTAGCAACAATGTCAAGGTACAAGACACATCCCAACCACTCGTCTTCAGTAGATTATTTTTAGTTTCTGATTCAATCATTCCCAATTATGTACTTATCATTTATTTTGTCTATGTTTTGTTATGCGTCCCCATTGAATGTAAATTTCGGTTTTGATTTTGTGGACTTTCCAAGTAAGTATTTGGGTGTTACTAACCTTATCATTATAGATGTATTTTCTAATAAAACTAAAGGTCCAGGCCATAGCAGATGCCATCGCTCCAGTACCTACAATGATAATCAGAGCCTCCCATGTCTCTATTGAAGGTTGGATACCAACTTTTGCTGTTATATTTTCACTCCGTTCAGCTATCGCCTGGCAATCGGTTGTGTTGAAAAATGTCACTGGCATATTTAGTTTTTGGTCGGATATCTGAAATAAAAATGAAATGGGGTTTAACGTCCTACTGTTCTGCTCCTAACCTGGGCTAATGAAGACGGGCATACGCCATACAGTGTGCTATGAGGGAAATTTTGCCCGGGCAGCGGCACTATCGCCTACTCTTATATCGAATTCCAACTAGACAGCTGTTCTTGCCAGGCCCTCCGTCCTGCATCACTGACAAGGGGAAACCACGCCGGAAAATCGGGATGAACTTTCTCGGCCAATGCAGGGATCGAACACCCGACCTCCAGGCTAGCGAGCCAATCTGAAATAGACGATAAATGCATTGTTAGTTGTGGTATACAAAACGCTACATTGGCACTTCATTGAAAGAGTGATAAATGTGGGTAAATAACGTAAAATTCCATTTTCTCCGGTTGTTGTGACATCTATCTTTAGTTTGTCCACTAATTGATACATGTATATTCCAGATAAACATGCAATGGATATCACCATGCCAACTCCGATAGAGATTCTTGAAATGAATTACTTTTTTGTACATAAATGTTTAAAATGCTCACGACTTTCCCTTTATGACATTACAATATTATCGCGTGTTTTTTTTAACGATCAGGAAATTACCAACATATGATTATGGTTTATCTAAGTTTCACAGCCAACACAAACAGTAATTCAATATAATGAAATATATATGAAAGTACTAAATCCGATATATAACACTTTCCCTGCTACGCATTCTTCGTTTTGGCCACTAATCGTCTAGGTATAACTGGTGTGTGTACTGTTGCAGCTCTCGAATCTTGGGCTTTTCAGTTATTGACTTAAAATGTTTGACTTAGAATGGGACTTGTCCAGGAATAAATATGACTTTCGTTATATCTCCTGGATCCTACAGAGATAGCTAATTGCATTCATGTAACTCAATCTGTGTGTGTGTGTGGGTGTGTGTGTGTGTGTGTGAGAGAGAGAGAGAGAGAGAGAGAGAGAGAGAGAGGGGTTAACGTCCACTCGGCACAAACTAGGTTATTTCGGAACTAATATGTTTCAATTTGATTTCAATAATTCGCTTATGATCTGCCATAAATGTATGATAAATGAAACATTGATAATAACCGAACCTGCCATTAAATTAGATATATCAGAGAGATTCGGGTAGGTGTTCTAATCTGATTTTGTTTACTAAACCGCCACTCTCAATCAACCGTTGTAATTGACAAATCTCAGGAAAGAATTGCTCAATTTCCAGTTTTCTTTGCATGTACAATGAATGGGGTCTAGTTGATGTTGAGTGTATTTGTAAAATTGTCTAGTTGTTGACCGTGTGTTTTCTATTTAAATCTATAATATATCATTCTATGTCACTCTAATTCTCTCTCAATTCTATTGCACATGTTTCCCCAGAGGATATACAATATATAAATTTAATACACTGCAGGAAACTTGATATCGCAGACAATTGATATACAGCAACGATTTTATACTTTTACATAATACATGTTATATTGTTTTAAGACCAAAGACCAGTAAAACGTAAATTGAATCCGGATTATATAAACGACGCGCTGCAAAACGAAACAATAAAAAGACGGCTTTATCACGGTGCTCTGACTGATCTTTAAAAACTTTTAACCGCATTATAATTATAGCGGATGTTTGGTAAGTTTCACAAAGGCTGGAATAAAGGGCACGTTCGATTATTAAACAATTGTTCACATCCAGATTGTTTCATTGTTAGAAGAAATGTTGTTTTTGGATAAATGAATTGGTGAAAGGTATTCATAAACACAATCAGACAATTTCCACCCATGTATTCTATAATCTATGATGATAGTTTAGCTACAGATAAAAATACGCAATATCCTTTTCATTGTCACAACGCCTCTCTGTTGTCATTATTCGCGTATTATGGTAAATACTGCGATAATAAATCCTTTTATATGGTACATTCAAAAGACATTGTAATGGCACTGTTAGTATCTATATTATACAGTATTTTGAATTCAAAACCAAGCTTGTCATACGAAGATAAAGGAGATATATCGTATTATTATTTCCCAAGTACGGTTCTCATTTGACAAGGAACAATGAAAGAAAGACATGAAAGAACCCCTGACAGTTATAAATCGGAAGTAAGCGAAATCTTCCATCACACGTAAGGTTAGAAATATTGGATATAAGGGTTCGTCTTGGATTGCACTGGGGCCTGTTTCAAGAAATTTTAAATAAGATAAAATCCAAATTTTAGTAATTTGATTGGATAATATTAGATTGATTTTAGTGCTTAGCCAATCACAATTGAAGTATCTACTAAAATTTGAATTTTATCTTTAGTTAAGATTTCGAGAAACCGGGCCCATTACATCATAAATTAAAGTGGGCTTTAAGTTTGTCTGAAAGCTACAAATGGAAATTATGAGTCCTTCGGACGTAACTCATTCAAGGCGTTTTATTGCGCGAGTGTTTAATAATCGCGACTATCACTTAACATCTATAACTTCGACATAGACATGATTAACAAGGTACTAACTATGTGGCATGGTCATTGGGCCTCATGGCCATCCCCCTAGGGGAACTTAAAGTTCATATTTATGTGAAAGAGTATCTCAGATAGTTTCAGGTTGTTTTTTTTCGGGGGGGGGGGGGGGTAAACGCAAAATGTTTAATTCACTGAATTAGATCAGACTGCTCCTTTAAACCTAATTTCCCTCCACTCCTTTAAAACACTGCGATAATAACTCGGCACAATACAGCTAAAAGCGTCCATTGTTCATGTTTTTCACATCATAATTCTATAACAGCCACTGTTATTAACTGATAACTATTTAATGTATATATTTCCTACTTAAAAATTCGTTAATAGAAATTTTACAGTTTGTTTTTTTTTCAAACCCGAATAGATTTGTTTGTCATTTGAATATGACACGATAGATGATCTGAAAATTTCAGTCAAATTGCTTCACTCTAAGCCGAGAAAACCTTATTTTAAAATAATGTAGGCTTGATCATCATTGTTAGCACTGTCACAATAATTAACAAAGTCTCGATTATCCAGTTTTGCGTTTGATCATCAACGGATTCAAATCCAATGAAAATCGGACAAATAAGATGGCATCGAGAGCTGATTATGGTCTTTTTATGTTCATAAATGTCTAATTAATAGTTTATACAACATTTCTGGCCTAAAGACCTGCAATAGGCAGATTTATCTCTTGCATAATGCCTGTTTAAACTAAGGAATAAATATAGTTCTTCATAGGATCTAAACATAGGAATATGCATTTGATTATTATCTTTGTTGCACATTCTGTATATATATTTGCCCGCAATTCACATATTTGTATTATTTGCTTGATAAAGATGAGAGTATCCTCGTCGAAACGTCGTTTAGTATCCAACTCAGTAATTTTGTATCCATAAAATTGTACCTTGTGTGTTAGAGGTTATATAAAATTATCTTGATACCCCTGTAGTTTATGGTGTTTTAGAGGTTATATAAAACTATGTTGGTTCACCTCCAGTTGACGATGTGTTAGAGGTTATAAACAAATATCTTGATTCCCCTGTAGTTAATGGTGTTTTAGAGGTTATATAAAATTATGTGGATTCAGCTGTAGTTAATGACGTTTTAGAGGTTATATAAAATTTGCTGATTCACCTTTAGTTTGTGATGTTTCAGGGGCAATATATAATTATAATGATTCACCTGTGGTTAATGGTGTTTATAAAAGATGGTGATTTACCTGTGGTTTATGATGTTTAGAAGTTGTATAATATTATGTTGATTCACCTGTAGTATATGATTTTTAGAGGTTATATAAAGTTGTGCTGATTCACGTAGAGTTAAAGATGTATGTAACCTGACATTTAAATAAATCAGATTTTGTAAATGTAGAAAAAATATTGCTGATAAATTGTTATGTATACCTGTGGTAACTGTAGATTTCGAGAGAGGAATTAGTAAGTGAAATCCTACAAACATATCCCACAACTAATATTTTACAATTACATTAATAACAAAAAACCTGATCTTGATAAAAACGTTTTAAAAGGTTATTGTATCATGTCGTATATAACTAGGTGTGTGGGGTTGAATAAGATGTTTCTGGGTTCGGTTCCGAAGAATTTGGGGCTTTATAGGTCGTGTCCTAGATCTGCGTTAATATAATGGTGTTGGAATAAAAGTCCTATAATTACAGGGGCGGATCCAGGGGGTTTGCCAGGTTCTTGAGATATTGAATTCTGGGATCGGGGGAGGGGTCTCTCCACCAGGCTTTAGAAAATGTTAAGAGATATATGGTCTCTATCGTCATTTTTGCGTATTACACATTTCGCTTTCGTTTCTCACATTCGGTTTCCTTTATATAGGACATCCATTATTAACGAAATGGGACAGATGACAATGGATGATGCCATTATCGTCTCCAAATTACATAGGCATACATGCATGTATACAAACTGACCTTTTTAAAGAGAAAAATCCAACTCCCCGTTTGACGTCAATTTTTATTATGAATTAATACATTTAGTTAATAGTAAACCATGCTATTAAGAGATCTGATTTTATATTACTGTATTACTCGTATTATCTTACTCTCATTCATATGTCCGATTTACTCATAATTTGTTTATTAGGGTTTCACACAGCCTAGCTAATGTCTGAAACAGTATTGTTTTGTTCGTATTATTGTTTACCACAATTTCCTTTTTTTTTCTAAGAGTCAACTTATTGGATAGCTTTAAACTTTTCGGGTTTGATGGAAAGGTGAGTAGTGGGTACTGAGTAAAGCAATTTCAAATACATGTATTGGAATTATTCGAGCTTTCCAAAAAAAACCAAAAAAAAAAACAATAGCTTACATTATAGTATATTCTGATATTGTGATTTGATGAGATGTTATATTTTCGAACCGCTAGTTTCATGGCAGAAATAGTTACAATGTCTCATCTTGTATTTTCGAATTTTATTAATTTAATTGTAAACTAAAATTTTTGAAATGTGACATTTTGTGACAAACTGTTGTTTTTTTGGGGTTTTTTTTTGAGGGGTGGGGGGGGCAATTATCTTCTACGGAAAAATATTTAAAAGGTGTCTTAGTTTTCCTCTTCGAAATAGACCCTTTGATGAATGAATAGCGACTATTACGGTCACGAAATGTAGTTGTCAATCTCCAACTAAGTGTTTATCTTTGTACCCCAACTGAATTCTTTTCTTGATTACGGAAATAAATAACTTATGCACCGGGAGCTGAGTTTTCCTCATTGGATAGAGTTAAAAATCTATAAATTTTAACTGATATTTCTGGGTTTGTGTAGATATGTTTCAATCAATGGTATGGTTTAAGGACGCCAGTGAAACCCGGCATAGTTGCATGGCAGGTCCATTATAGCTTTATCTATGATCATCACTAATTGGAGAGTACTTTTCTATGGTTCAACGCCTGACACGTTAAGCTCT